AATATTTTCAATAAGCCCATGAAAAATTACCATCATGCATCGTTGGAAAGTAGCAGGTGCATTACACAGCCCAAATGGCATTCTACGAAAATCAAAAGTACCGTAAGGACATGTAAAAGTGGTTTTCTCTTGGTCTTCCGGGGCTATCATAATCTGATTGTACCCCGAATAACCATCAACAAAGCAATAATAATTTATACCTGCCAGACGATCCAACATTTGATCAATAAAGGGGAGGGGAAGGTGATCTTTACGAGTTGCGGCATTTAATTTCCTATAATCTATACAAATTCGCCAACCCGTTACAATCCTAGTCGCAATCAATTCTTCTTTCTCATCTTTCACTACTGTCATTCCTCCCTTTTTCGGCACCACTTGCACCGGGCTCACCCACTCACTATCAGAAATCGCAAAAATAATCCCGGCATCTAACCATTTAAGCACTTCTTTCCTAACAACTTCTTGCATAACAGGGTTCAAGCGTCATTGGTTTTGCACAGATGGTTTATAATCTTCTTCTAATCTTATTTTATGCATGCAAAGAGATGGACTAATACCTTTAAGATCAGAAATAGACCAACCAATAGTCGATTTATACGTACGCAAGACCCTTAACAATTTATCCAGTTGTTCAGGAGAAAGAAACGATGATACAATTACCGGATATGTAGAATTATCACCCAAATATGCGTATGTGAGGTGCTCCGGCAAAGGTTTAAGCTCCATAGTCGGTACGTCGAGCTTTGAGGGACTAGAATCGGGCGAGATAGGGGTGGAAACACCTGACACGACCTCCGACACGGTCGAGGTGACCGTGTCACGACCCGTGTCACGTCTCTGGTACTCAATCTCCCGTGTCTGAAGGTGTGACACGACCTCGTGACACGGCCCGTGTCGCAGGTCGTGTCGGGTCTGGACTGGTTCTTCAACTCCCAGGTTTGTAGCACGACCACGTGACATGGGCTGTTTGGTCGTGTCACAGCCCGTGTCACCCCTGCAGAGCCTACTTTTGCATCTTTTCTTCTCCTTTTCGATCCCCAAGCTCAAAATTTCTTTTGACATGCTTTCCTCCTGCGTAGAATCCAAAGAAAACACATATTCATATAAATTAGAGTCATTCAATTCAAGAATCGAATCAGTAGGAGAACAAGAATTTATCAATCCAAACTCCAAAGAATCTCTAGACAATGTATGATCAAGATGTGACAAGACGCATGAATCTATAGTATCAAGAAATTTACAATGCGCATTATTATCGTGAAATTTCATAGCCTTATATATAGAAAATAACACATGCTCATCATTAACACGCAAAGTAAGTTCTCCCTTTTTGACGTCTATCAAGGCATCTCCCGTCGCTAGAAACAGTCTTCCTAGAATCAATGGCACCTCGTTATCTTCCTCCATGTCCAACACCACAAAATCCACTGGAAATATGAACTTATCAATCTTGACAAGTACATCCTCAATGATCCCCTTGGGATATGTTATCGAACGATCCGCTAATTGCAAGGTTACCGTAGATGGCTTCACTTCTCCCAATCCTAACTTCCTGAAAATCGACAGAGGCATAAGATTAATACTTGCACCAAGATCACATAAAGCTTTGCTAAAGAAAATGTTCCCGATTGTGCAAGGCACAGTAAAGCTTCCGGGGTCCTTCAGCTTCTGAGGTATCTTGCGTTGGAGGATCGCACTACACTTCTCGGTTAAGTTCACCATCTCATGATCCTCAACTCGCCTCTTCTTGGACATCACATCCTTCAATAATTTCGCATAATTTGGCATTTGTTCCAAGGCTTCTGCAAAAGAAATATTTATATGAATTTTCTTGAATATATCTAAAAATTTAGCAAATTGAGCATCCAAATTCTTCTTTTGAAATCTTTGGGGAAAAGGTAAATTAACAGGATGTTTATGAGAATTAGAGTTAGAAGTAGATTTAAGCTTCTCAGCCCCTTTTTTCGACATGACAATCGGTTCTTTCTCCAATTCATCACGAACATCCTTTTCCTTTTCGCTTAGCTCCAAGCTCTCTTTCCCCTTTGGCTCACTCTCCTTCTCCTCCGGTATCTTCGGGCCTTCGTACTCCATTCCACTCCTTAGGCGGATGGCTTGACATTGCTCCTTAGGATTCAACTCCGTATTGCTAGGGAATTGACCCCTTTGGTGCTGGCTCCCTACGACCTTGGCCAGTTGGCCAATTTGCGTTTCCAAATTCTTCATTTGTGCCCCCATTGTCGTAGCCAGTTGAGTCACATGATTCTCGATCTTGTCCAATTTCTCCTCATCCTTGTTGAAACGATTTCTCGTCTCATTCATGAAGGTAGCCAAAATATTCTCCATGTCCGTCTTCTTCTCTTGGATAATCTCACCATTCACCACCTTGAACCCCGGTGGTGGTTGGAGCACGTCCTTCGTGTTTCCATAGGAAAAATTTTCATGATTCCTATTATTCGGGTGATAGAAACCCGGCACCGGATTGGAGCGATAATTGCTGAAATTCCGATTGTTGATATAATTAGCCTCTACTAAGGGATCCGGTGGCATCACATTGTCGTGTCCTCCACTCATCTCATCAGCTCCATTTGTCAAGGCATTCAATTTCGTCGTCAATGACGACATTTGAGCCGCTAACTCCTTAATTGGATCAGAAGACGTCACCTCCGCCACTCGTCTAATGCTCGACCTTTCGGAAGGCCACTGATAACTATTCACCGCCATCTCTGCCAATAAATTGGAGGCTTCCTCCGGTGTCTTAGCCAATAAAGCTCCCCCAGCAGCCGCATCTACGAAGGCTCTCGTTTGCCCCAACAACCCGTTATAGAAGAAACAAAGTTGTTGATCATCTGGAAAACCATGTCGAGGGCACCTTCGCAACAACTCTCTAAATCGATCCCACGCCTCGTATAACGGCTCCGAGTCTTGCTGCTTGAATTGAGTAATCTCGCTTTTCAGTTGCATCGACTTGCTTGGAGGAAAATATTTAAGCAAGAACTTCTGGTTCAACTCCTCCCAAGTCTTAATGCTCCCATCAGAAATCATCGACAACCAACTCCGAGCTTTATCCCTTAGAGAGAAGGGAAATAGACGCAGCCGTATAGCATCCTCGGAGACACCATTGTACTTGACCAAATCGCAAATTTGCAGAAATTGAGTCAAGTGTTGATTCGGATCCTCGGTCGGGTGTCCGCCAAATTGGTTGTTTTGCACCATCGAGATATAAGAAGGCTTCAACTCGAAATTATTCGCATTGACGGGTATATGCGCAATCCCGCCAAAATTCTTGTTAAATTCAGGCCGAAAGTGGTCACGAATTGCTTGCCTCTGTTGCTCTTGCTCTGCCATTATGCACTTTGACTTGCCCTTTCTTTTTCTAGTTGTTGCACTAGTGCGTCTAGCGAATGCTTCAACTTCGTCAATCAAGGGTTGTAGTGGTGCACTTTTAGAACGAGTTAACATGCAAGTCCTGGAATCAAGAATAAGAAAGGTTATGCCACAAATAAATAAAAATATCTAAATTAAAATTTTCACTACCTATCCTAATATTGATATAACTAATTAAATTGGTCCCCGGCAACGGCGCCAAAAACTTGTTCGCCTATATTTTTAAAGCTCGACCGCAAGTGTACGGCTTCGCTCGTAGTATGTGGCAAGCAAGGTCGTATCCCAAGAGACCAAACAATCAATTAATCAAGTACTAGATTATGATAGTGTCAACTTTATTTAGACGACCGTAATTGGATTGATTAACTAAACTAAGAAAATAAATCAAAAGATAATAAATCAAAAACAAGAAAACAACTAGAAAAACACTTAGGAAGAATATATGGGAAAGGTAGATTCTAAGACTATGGGTTCAATTAACAGTCGGGTTCCTTCAGATATATCACAATTAACTATTTTCTTTATCTACCCTATAAGATGATCACGAAATTAGCCTATCGTCCCTCTCGAGATCGATAAAACCGTAGATTAAATCACATATATTAGCGTCTCCACTCAACACATGCAATTCAACTCCAAATAGATTAAAAGACCTAAAATCCTCACAACTATCTACTAATCTCTCGATTCAAGTAAACAAATTGTGTCAAATATTAAAGATCTAATATTGAGCTCATCTCTCGAATTATGAACAATATCATCAAACATGTAAAAGCAATGGCCAGTTGCAATTCATGAAATAAGCACGAAATATTTGAATAGGGTTCAAAAGAAAACGATCAATTATAATAAATCATCAGAAATCCCAAACTATTAATCTACTACCATGTCTTAGAATAAAAGAAGATTAGCTACTCATGTTTGAAATCAAATACATAGACATATTCAAAATCAACATGAGAAAACAAGTTCAAAAGATAGAAAGAAAAACTAGTAAGCTTGTCGTCGATCTTCTCTTCTTCCCAATTGCTTCTCTTGCGTGTTCTCTGGCTCTCTTCCTTGTGTAATCACGTTCTAGGGTCCAAAATCAGATAAATATGTCTTTTTATATGTCCAAAAGTCCTCTCCTAAGTGAAAAAGGTAAGCAATTAAAAACAGCCCGCATCGCGACACGACCTGACACGCCCGTGTCACAGGTCGTGTCACGGGTCGTGTCAGGTATTCTGCACCCTCACTTCTCTGTTTGGATGACACGGGTGGGGACACGACCCCGGAGCCCGTGTCACAGGTTGTGTCACACTACTGTACGCTCATTTTCGACTCATTTCGCTCTTTTCTTCCATTCTCTTCATCCGTGCATCGATCTATCATTATCCCGGGAGTCTCAGGCACTCACTATGCTCCTCCAATAGCCAAAGCTCTACAAATATGTGAAAATATCTACAAAACGAGCACGTGTAATACCTTTCCAACAAATATAAAATTAAGGCACAAATATGCAATTTATACACCACAAATGTACCAATCAAGCTCTAAATACTATATGAATGTAGTGTAAAATCACACATGAACACAGGTATGCCATTATAAAAGTGATAAAGTAAGGGTATTTTAGGCATATTATATTTTTACAGATTCATTGGCACTTTTATA